TTCACATATTATAAGCATTGCAGAGATATATTGATTTGAAAAGTCGTATGACGTCACGTTTGAGTACACTTATAAGGGAAAATTCATTCAAAAGTGACGTCACGAGCCCCTTCTCCCAAACTTTGACGTGCTATAACTTTGTCATTTTTTGGTTGATTGCCCAAAGAAAAAATACGTGTCCATTATTTTTCGATCATCTAACTGACGGACTAAATAGAATTTCGTTTACTGTACCCCGACATAACCTCTATTCTAGAATAAAAAAAAACAAACATTTGTAAACAAACATGACGACGATGACAACTCCGGTAGCTATGTAGAGCTGAGCGGAATTGAAGAGCTAGATTCCGATTAATATTTTTAATCACACAGTCATAAATGTTATTAAAAATCGGTGGTTTTTGAAGTTATACTTCTTTAGGCGCGTTATGAAAAAATGATGAGAGTGAAATTTTAAGATGCGCACGCATCACTGTAACACAAAATTTTAACAGCATGAAGTTGGCGCTTTAGCGACCAACTTCATGCGTTACTTTTGTGTTTACCGCACATTAAGAAAATCTACCGACAAAATAGAAATAGAATCTCTATTTAGTGGGTGCTAACGACTGCATTGTGAAGGCCTATCAAAAGTATTTATTAATCTGGAACAACGGAACCAAAGCGCGATTCAGGAAACTACAGCGCCAACTCTTGACCATTGGTGTAGTAGAAACAAAAACCACATCTTTATTTTTTGTAATAAAGTAACAGTTATAGGTATTCATACTTATAATATCAAAAGTATTTATTAATCTGGAACAACGGAACCAAAGCGCGATTCAGGAGACTACAGCGCCATCTCTTGACCATTGGTGTAGTAGAACCAAAAACCACATCTTTATTTTTTGTAATAAAGTAACAGTTATAGGTATTCATATTTATAATATTTATCCACATGTTTCTAGTTTGTATATTCGGAATACGTGTTTGAGTTTCATACCAGTGCAAATCACATATGTTCTAATAAATTATATTCAGTAGCGATTTTAATTGAATATTTTGATTATTTATTTATTTTTCAAATTAAAACTGAACTTTATTGACTGTGTCCTTTTCCAGACTTTTTATTAATTTATTGTAATTAATTATTGGCATGCAATTAAAAACTAATTTTAAACGATGCCAAAGAAGGATAACTTCTCACGCGCCTACATAAGTACACGCACCCATTTTTTTTTCTCTATCTTAGTAAATAAATTTTATTAATAAAATCTTATGTTTCTTCTCACTTAATCTTAGTAAATAAGTTTTATCGAAGAAAATCTTTTACAGTCTTAGGGTGCGGCCAGAGTGCACTCAGATTCAGATTCAGATTCAGATTTCGAAAACAAGCGCGAGAAATAAACAGTGTAGTCTAAGCAGGTTGCTTGCTTTTTCTCGCGCTTTGTTTTCTGAGTCTGAATCTAAATCTGAATCAGGAGTGCAATCTGGCCGTAACCTTCGACTACACTGTTTATTTCTCGCGCTTGTTTTCAGAATCTGAATCTGACTCTGAATCTGAGTGCACTCTGGCCGCACCCTTAGACGAAATTACTAAATTTTGCTTTTTTTTTTAGTTTTATTCTTCTCTATTGAGAAAGGCAAAGGCATAGCCATGCAGCCATCGTCTTATTTTTGTATTAATCTTCCTTTTTTTTACATTAGAATGTGGGTGTGACGCATTCTAATGCTTCTTGGAGTATTTGGCACGAAATATATCGAGGTGGCTTTTTCGATAAGCTTCTGTGAGGTAGTCAATACTACAATAAAATTCTCACGTCCACTTGACCGGAATAGCGTATATTTCAAAGATACCACTAATTCTTCAGTTGCGCAGACGGTTGTAACACAAAATCACACCAATTTTATTTCACAATATCCACTATGAACAAATTTAAGAATAATTAAAATAAGACGCCAACCGCACTCGATGAAATCCCGCCAAAAACCTCCTAAATTTTGCCTTAAGCATATTTTTGACAGTAAAAGCTTTCTAAAAAAATATTAGAGATTGTTATTACAATATTAGTAAGGCAAAGAGCAACAAAAATATATTTATTTCAAAAATAAAGTAAATATTATAACCACATACTGGTGTCGATTCTGGCACGATTCTCTAAATCTAAATTTAAATTTGACAACAGTGCATCCTTGCCATTCTCTATACAGAATGAAAATTAGAGACTGATGCTAATTCTTCATCATGTGAGGTTCAAGTTTTTTTAAATGTAGTAGTTAGAACCTTTCCACTTCCATCCTAAAATATTGGAAGAAACGTTTCCTATCGACTTTTAATTAGGGAAACAAATGATGGTGTTCCCCATATTCTCCGATCGATCTTCATTAGAAAACTCCTCCATGTTTACAACTGCGAAAACACCCCCCAATTTAAGTTTCTAGATCAACAGCTACGAACGCGTCGAATGAGAAAGAGAGACTGTTGAATGATTGTCGATTGCGACTTTTTACAAATTAAAAGTTTATGAGGTGGTATTATTTTTATGTAAAAATGTAATAAAGAAAACCCCCGTTTCCCCCAAAACAAAATTTCTTCCCCCATTAATCCCCCCATCACTTTAAAAACCCCCCAAATTTGGAGTAACCTCCCCCAACCTGGCAACAGTGCTCGCGTCCGCGTCTTGTATTATCTGCCTCCACTGTGGCCATCACCTGCTTTCCTCAAGCTGACATCTCACGAGCCTGTTTTCTGAGTCTGAATCTGAGTGCACTCTGGCCGTACCCTAACATATCTGATGGATATATAGACAGGTTATACTAGTGTTGCCAGGTCCGATTTGTTTAAAATCGGTACACGAGGTCAAAAAATCGGGATTTAGGGTTGCAGATCGGGAAAGTAAAGAAAAAACAAGGGGTTTTGAAGTCTGGGTTTTATTTAATTTCTTGATTAATCGGGACATTTAGCGTTCCGATCTGGTACAAATCGGGACGCTCCCCCAGACCCCTGAAAATCGGGACGTCCCGCGCAAATCAGGACACCTGGCAGCACTAGGTTATGCGCCACATTATTGCATTTTATAATGGCACAAGTAGTCCCCGCCTCAAGCTCGCTTTCACGAAAGTAGCCTGTTTCTCTCATTCATTAAGCAGATTACATCTCGCTCTTCAGCCCCCACATGTCAACTGTGTCAGCAACTGTCAAAATAAGTAATCACTTAATATTGTTAACATCCATTTCTTTAAAACTGTACGTTTACGAATAAAATGATACGTTTTTCTTGTCTCTACTAGTTCCCGTTTGTCAAAAAAACTTCTCCGCTCCGCTGCAATCGGTAACTATTTTGACTACGCCATACTTACTTTTTTGGGTAATTTTGTAATAAGGTACTGATATCACTAGGCAAACGTCAAAACGGAATCGTATTTTTGATGTGTAACATCTTGCTTTCCTGCAATTTGTGGGAGTGATTTCGTGAAATGGGACGGAAGTGTGTAGCAGGAAGTCGCGAAAGCCCGCACCATTTGATGTAGAACATGATGTTCAAATGACTTATTCCTTTTTTAGTAGGGTTCTATTGTAAGTGACTTTGTTGGTTGTTTTTATGCGCCCGTTATTATTTCGGCAAACTTTTACCGCGCAACTCAGCATTTGTAAGCAATAATTTCAAAACGAACTTTGGTAATTGACGTGTTTATCCTCAACGTTGCATTAAACACGAAGTGAAGGGAAACGACATAGATCCCACCAGGTGGGAGAAATATTTTTCAGCGTAGATACGCTGACACGCTTTATCTAAAAAGTAGACTTGCAACGAATAGTATATTCGGCAGTATACCGAATATTCGGCGAGGCCCCTGACCGAATAGCCGAATATTAGGCAAAAATATTCGGCTGGATTTTAACCGCCAAAAACTTGTACAGACGTGATTGTTTCGCGCTCCTTTATTTTGTTCTAATCTGCCGTCCTCAAGCTAAAATGCGGCTAAATGACAAAACCAACTTTTGAGATATGGCCAAAAACGGCGAGTAAACTTTAAATTATTGCTATTATGTAACCATTCATCTCATGACTGAATGAATTAAAAACTGTTAACTTGTTTAATACAGAAAATGATTAAATTATGTACCTGTTTTATGTACCAATGACAACTTAATAAATGATTATAAAAGAAATGAGAAAATTACCCTTCTAAATTTTGATTACCACAATAATTCAAATACTTAGAACCCTCTATTTTTCCAATTCAGAAGATGATTATGTACCTGTGTTATATACCAATGACTACTTAAATGATTATATATAACAGAAATGAATGAATATATACGTAAAATATGAATACATACGTAATCAATCGATTTTAATTTTTCATTTTACCGATTATTTCTGATGACAAAATATATTATTTAAGTATTCGGTATTCGGCCGAATATAATAAAAGCATTTTATTTGTATTATTATTATTCAGAAATGTTATATCATACAAATAATAATATAATTACAGTATACTTATTCACCACATAGCTCGACATTTGTATTTTACGAACATCAAAATGTTAAAAATATGTCAATAGGATAGCTGCTTAAAGGATCGGTGAGCGCAAAAAAATATTTACATTTTCGTATCGTTCAATCCTGATTTTCAGCTACTTCTTGCAATATTTGTAAAAATTCCAAGAATATATAAAAGAAATCGAAATATATCTGCATTTGATTATATTATATTTATTCGATAACCACTAAATTTTTTTACTTAATTATTATAATCTCTCAAAACGGTCATCATTTCGTGCCGCAATCGGTATTTTTTTCGTTTTTAGGACGTTCATTTACTTCATTATTCTTGAAGATAGAGAGATACAGGCAAAATAGATCCACTTTGTATTGAAGCAGATCTGATTGTTCCACAACACCCACATTTGCTTTTTTACCTCATTCTTGGTAAATTACTTTGTAATGGCAACATAGCCCATAGACAATAATAATGCTTGGGATTTTTTTTTGGTCTGTGTGTGTTTTAGCTGTCAGTTGTTAGTGAACCTGCCAGTCTTTTGAATGTCACGCACGTCACGTCAGTTTAGTCAGCCATGTTTATTTCCTTCGAGTAGTTGGAGTGTGTTTGGAAATGGTGGTAGTGATAAAAAATATTAGAGCAGTGGTAATATTTTTGTATTATTGTTGTTAGAAACTGTGCTAGTGAAGCATAAATGTGTATTTTGTGTTAGTGAAGTGATATTACTACCACTAAAATGAATTGGGGCAATGAGCTTTGGGTAAGTTCAGACGAACAAACTAGTCAATGCCAAATTCCCAATCGCAGTTTCATTTTTTATTGTAAATTCCTGCTGTCTCAGCTACATGCAAAGTCAATTTTTGGTTTATCTTATTATTAAATAGTACATACACAATAATAATAATAATGTGTTACCTACTTAAACTTCTAAAAGTTCTAATGTCATGCTTGAAATGTCTTTAAAAACATGATTTGGTGAATATTTTTTTTCTGTATTGCCTTGAGATGATATTTTAACAACGTTATTTTATTATACGATATATCGATATATAATCGGGCTGCTGATCTCTTGAGTAACACCCCAATAAAGTTCCTGTCCAAACAGAAAACACTGTAACATATAGGGATTAAAATAATGTTTGAATGAGGAACATGCTTTTCTCATAGTAATTTAAAATTCCACCAACATTAAAATGTGAGCCTATAACTAGCCGTGACCTTAGCCAACATTCTGAAGATTCATTTGGAAATAGATAATATGTACCTACACATAAGTTTTGAAAGTGCCTTACTACTTTGTTTTTGGACGTGCATAAATGCAGGTAGGCAAATAAGACTAGAGAGATGAAGTAACAGGACTATTACTATTTCTTTTCTCTGGGATGATTTCCTACCCAAACTAAATATGATAAATATTGGCGATTGGAGAATGTACATTAAAATCAAGCTGTTTTTCCAATAAAATATGGTGTACTTTCATTCACATATAAAATTTTAGATGATAATAAAAAGTAAATATATATCCAAAAGCTTTAAAAAGTATAAAAAGAGTGCGTTTTGGCAACATCTACATTGCTAACTACATCTTTGATTTCATTATATTATACATCATGAATTTTAAGTTACCTGAGAAACTTAAAAATAATTAAATAAACATATTATAAACTACTGTTACTACTAAAAATATAAAACAGCACAAATATGTAATAACATAGCTATTATGGAATTATTATTTTGCATTTAAAGTATGCATATCCTAAAAGTAGTTCTATTTGAACTAATTTATAACAATTGCGGTTGTTCAGATTTCATAATAGCAGAAATTGTGATTTGAAGTAGAATTTTCTTTCTTGCAGAAATATATCTAATCGAAATTGTAGTCTAAATTAGCTGATAAAATTACTTAGGTATTCACAGTATATATTAATATAATATACAATACCCCCTGTAATAATAAAATAAAATGGTGACAATGGTAATAATAAAAAATGAATTTTTTAAAATGAGTGACGACTCAGACATAAATTATTCAGACAGAGTAACTAAATTTTCGATTTTTTGGTTCGGTCTCTAATCATAAAACCTCTTTAGTACAGTGAGATAAAAACCTCCAACCGTAAAGCTGGAACCGTTAGCAGTTAGTTCAGTGATGTGTTTGAAGAGCCTGTCACACATCCTCACACTGCTCATCTGCACACTGTTTTGCGGCACAGCTTCGCTACAAATCTGCTTTACTCATCTGCCTACCACATCTCTGGAAGAAACCTAATTGTAGGTTCTGTCCTCTGCTGAACCTTGTAAAAATGTTTAACCAGAGTTTAACAAAAGCATAAAATAATATCACAAACCACTCAGCTGCTGCAATGTATGCCTGAGTACTTAAAGGAGAATGTTGTCATAAGTGGACCCTATGTCAAGAAATAAACCCACTACATACTCCTTTTTCTTAAAAACTGTCCAGATGTCTGTGATTAGGATGCTAAGATTATCTAGAGATCTTCCTAAAACACCAAAAAAAGCCAAAACCACTTTGTCAGTATGGACAGTGGTTTTGGCTTTCCAATCGCCACTCCAAACAGTTTCTGATCATGTGCTCCATGATTTTAAATAATGTTGAGGAAAGTGCAATTGCTCTATAAGAATTAGAGTCCCGGAAATCCTTATCGATTTTAGTAATGGGATGACTAGGTATTTGTATGTTCCATTACTCAGTAATGATGCCCTGTTCAAAGAAGATGTTTACTAAAGAAAATTTTACTAGAAAAGAATCCATGCGGACCTTGCAGCAGACCAATAGCAATGCGAAAAGATGGCGCAGCATTCGCCTGTATAGCAAGAGGTGCAGGTTCAAGTACAGGCTACTCCCTGGTCCGCGTGGAATATTTTTCCAGCATCACTTTCTTTTAGATTTAGACATCTATCAGGTAAATGCTTCAAAATCTATATATATAAAACTCAAAGGTAAAACTGACTGACATAGTGATCTATAAACGCACAGCCCAAACCACTGGATGGATCGGGCTGAAATTAGGCATGCAGGTAGATGTTATGACGTAGGCATCCGCTAAGAAAGGATTTTGATCAATTCTACCTCCAAGGGGATAAAATAGGGAATGAAAGTTTGTATGAAACTATGTCAATTTTAAACCGATCGGGCTGAGACTTGCATGCAGTTATAAGAAGAATCATAGATGAATGTCATTGTGTATAATACAAGCCTGAGAGCGGGTCATTACTCGATTATCACAAAAATGGGTGCGTGTACTTATGTAGGCACGTGAGAAGTTATCCTTCTTTGGCATCGTTTAAAATTAGTTTTTAATTGCACGCAAATAATTAATTACAATAAATTAAAAAAAAGTCTGGAAAAGGACACAGTCAATAAAGTTCAGTTTTAATTTGAAAAAATAAATAAATAATCAAAATATTCAATTAAAATCGCTACTGAATATAATTTATTAGAACATAGGTATGTGATTTGCACTTGTATGAAACTCAAACACGTATTCCGAATATACAAACTAGAAATATGTGTATAAATATTATAAATATGAATACCTATAACTGTTACTTTATTACAAAAAATAAAGATGTGGTTTTTGGTTCTACTACACCAATGGTCAAGAGATGGCGCTGTAGTCTCCTGAATCGCGCTTTGGTTCCGTTGTTCCAGATTAATAAATACTTTTGATAGGCCTTCACAATGCAGTCGTTAGCACCCACTAAATAGAGATTCTATTTCTATTTTGTTGGTAGATTTTCTTAATGTGCGGTAAACACAAAAGTAACGCATGAAGTTGGTCGCTAAAGCGACCAACTTCATGCTGTTAAAATTTTGTGTTACAGTGATGCGCGCGCATCTTAAAATTTCACTCTTATCATTTTTTCATAACGCGCCTAAAGAAGTAGAACTTCAAAAAAATGCACAATTGACCCATGCACACTGATTTTATCAATTAAATTCATAATGCTACTAATAATGTTAATTATTGCTCATAAAACCTTAGAACCGGCGATAATGGCCAAGTTCATGATAAAATGTAAAAGCATACACAGCTTGCTACAAAAACAACAAAATAATAAGAATAGCAGAATAACTTAAAAATAAATTACGAAAAAAGTTAAAAAAAACCAAAATCAATTTTCACTACATAAATTAGTTTTGGTATCCCCACCAAATTTCCACTATTGACAGTCTCGTCAAGCACGTATAAAGCTAATTTATACGAGTTGCTGACGCTTTGGACCTATATAATATTCGGACCATTTCGGACACAGTGTCCGAATTGACACCATTGAATTTAAATATTTTTTGGGTGATAATGCCTACTCTATCTCGGGGTATAAGGGGTGCCGCCTAACACCCAACGGCACCCAAGCTAACCTCACCTGCCCGCGGTGTACCCTGCCGACCAACGGACGAGGCTCTGGCGCTCCCCACCAACCCGCACTGGGCCAGCGTGGTGGGAGACGGCCCAAAACCCCCCCTAAAATGATAGTACGTAATAAGAGGCCCCAAGTGCCCGGCGGTGCTGGAGTCCGTGGCGGCGCTGACGGACGCCGACTCGGCGCCGGGACCAGGGGTGCGAAGAATCCCCGGGCGGCAAAAATCCCCCGTCAAACGACCTTGGCCCTGGCAACGTACAACTGGAGGAAGAATTGAGCAGGATTCGCTGGAGTATTGTAGGACTATCAGAAGTCCGAAGAGAGGGCGAGGACACGATGGTCCTTAAATCCGGCAACCTGCTCTATTTCCGGGAGGGCGAAGATCTGTCCCAGGGTGGTGTCGGGTTTATTGTCCACAAGTCTCTCGTGAACAATGTTGTACAGATCGGTAGTGTGTCGAATAGGGTGGCGTACCTTATACTCAGAATCACCAAACGGTATTCGTTGAAGGTCATACAGGTATACGCTCCGACCTCGACGCACCCCGACGAGGAAGTGGAAGTCATGTATGAGGATATTTCTCGGGCAATGCATGCTTCCAGGACCCATTACACCGTTGTCATGGGGGACTTCAACGCAAGGCTGGGCAAACGTGGCGATGATGAGTTGAAAGTGGGGCAATTTGGAGTTGGAATCCGGAACTTCCGAGGTCAAATGCTAGCCGATTACATGGAGAAGGAGGGACTCTTTATGATGAACTCCTTCTTCAGAAAACGGCTGCATCGAAAATGGACCTGGAAAAGTCCGGATGGCGTGACAAAAAATGAGATTGACTTCATCATGGCGACTAAGACTCGGATATTCAATGATGTCTCAGTGATCAATTCGTTCAATACGGGAAGCGATCACCGAATGGTAAGAGGCACATTGAATCTAAATGTCAAAGCCGAAAGGAATCGACTGATGAAGTCCACGCTCCGTCCTGAAGCCATCCGGATCCAAAACCCCGAGCGCTTTCAACTCGAACTGCAAAATCGCTTCGATTGCCTAGAGAGCTGCGTAGACGTGGACAATTATAATGACAGGTTTGTTGAAGCTGTCCTTACGGTGGGCTCGAAGTTCTGCAAGCCCATCCGTACCAAAAAACGCAGCAAGATCTCGGAGCCGACTCTCAAGCTCATGGAGAAAAGGCGTGAGATGGGTCTGCAGTCCTCTGAAGATGCACGTCGGCAGCTCAATAGGCAGATTTCGAAGTCTCTGACTCGCGACATACGCCGCTTTAATACTGATCGTATTAAAGAGGCCATCGAGCGGAACAAAGGCTCGAAAGTGTTCGCAAGAAATCTGTTTCTTGGACAGAGTTTGCTGACGAAG